GCCCACAAAGACAGTGCGTCCTTAAACATGACCCTCAGGGGCCGTCTGCTCTGCTACCGACTCTTCTAAGACAAGTCCTGAGGCAAGTTTGCAGCTTCTGTACCTTCCCCCCCCCCCCCCCCTAAAGGCCCCTCCCCCCCCCCCCCATCTAAAGGGAAGCCCAACCTGACCACTCCTTTCCTTAGTGTGACCCAAAGGAGGCACAGGCAGCAGGGATATTTCACAGTCTGGTAGGTGGGAGAAAGTAACAGGGATCCAGTACAGCCTGAAAAAAAGACTGTCTGCCAGAGAGGCAGGCAGAATGATGAGGATGAGCTCAGAGAGCCACAAGTGTATACCTGCGGGTCATTTCCTCCAGCGCAGACAACAGGAGCTCCCAAAAAGTAGGAGAGAACCTTGGAGTTCTAATTTTCAGCCCCCTGACATAGAAACGTCAGCAGGTCACAAGTTTTATGTCACTGGCCTACGTTTTCCCATGTTTGTATTCCTGTATTTGTGACATATATTTTTTCCTTCAGTTAATCATTGCACTTTGCTCCTCAGAGTTTACAGTGCTTCGGAGTCTCAAGACACAGTATTTGCAGATGTGGCCCCTTTGCTAACATCTCTCCTGGATGGGTAAGTTAAAAGGTGGAAGGAAGAAAGCTAAAGGGCAATAATCTACTGAAATCCATCAATTAACATTTACTTAACAGTGGAGGTCCTGTCAAGTTTTGTGGCTTTGCAGTTACATTTTTCTTTTTTTTCCTACTCAACACCAAGTGACTGTTGTTTCCCCATATACACAGTGAAAATACTGTTTACAAAATTTAGCAGAGCAGACAAATTTTGGGGAAAATAGGGTTTTTTTCTCTCATCTCTTTCTGGCAAGCTTAAGCATTGCTTCTAATGGAAGATACTATCTTTTTTTGTGGTTTAGTAGGTTATGTTTTATAACTGTTTTTCAGTTGTAGACACAGTATGATACATCTTTTCCAATGGTGTATTCGTATATGAAAGGCCTGCCAGGGCCACTCTCTCATCATCTGTTCTGGTTTTGCATACAGCACAGGCCATAGGAGGTGGAATGATCCATTCCTGGTTGAACCAGAACTGAGCATCCTTAGTTGTAGTTCTAACGCTCCTTCAGGCACTGGGGTTAAAACAGAATTCTGTTTTAACTGATCAGTAACAACCACTAACAAATATGTGTAATTACTTCTAGCCACTGAAGTTCATGAAGTGTGATTCTTCGTTTATACTAGAGCCAACTTAAGCTACTTAAGGCAAAGAAGCCGTGACATGCATATTGTTGTAATCCTTGATGCTCGAACTGAGATTCATGCAAAACTTCCTTTCTGCTCCTTTCTCACCCCCACTCCAATTCCACTCAATTATAGATGGTTGTTTAGAGCTGTCATGGACTTTTCCTCCCTGTAGAGGTAAAGACAGTCCCTTTCCATCCACAGTGGCATAGTTGAACAGTGGCAATCCTTGTTCCTAGCAGTCTGCACACTGAAGTTTCCAAGGCTCCTTTTCTTAAAAGCAGCCTAAAAGAGGCATATCAGGATATTGCGGATATTGGGAAATCCCAGCCATCCCTTTACACATGCCACAGAGGGGCCCACAAGGGTTACCTAGGCAAAGGGAAGTCCTATATGGCATTATTCTAGTTCACCAAGGATGAGTAACCACAGTTTCCATAGCTGAGCAACCTAGGGACCACTAGGTTGGAGGAGTTTGAAGAAGTCCTTATAATCCCTCTGTTCTCTCTCTGCTTTTTTTTTTTTTTTTTTTTTTTTTTAAACCTGCAATGAACACAAGTTTACTTTGGCTCAATATGTTGCCTATGTATCTTCCGACATATCTGATCTGCTGTACTTCCCACTTCCTGATTTCCACACTGAGAGAATCCTGTCCTAAAAGCTAGGATTTTTATATTCAGTTGAGAAATGTTCTGTTATTGAAAACAAGAGAGTTGTCTTGTTCTTCCAAAAGTGCCATTTAAACAGAAGCAGCTTTTCAGGGAAGGCAAGGCTGTGCATATGAGCCATGTTTCTCAGCAGCCTTCCCATTGTAAATGGGAAACAGACATACTTAGTCTGAACCTTGAACCTTTTTGCTGCTCCTGATTGTTTTAGTCTGGGCTCCAAAGTGGTCTGTAACAACTTTTAGCTTAAGTAGGAAGGGAGTGTTCCACTCCTTTATTTTTTCTTTATTTTTCTTTCTTAATGAATTGTTTCATTTTTCAGTATAAATATACAGGAAGAAAAGATTGTCCCATATGCAAAACAGACAAAGTACAGCAGGCTTCGAAGTTCACAATTAGCTGTACAGGGCCAGCAAGGGAGTAAGATAACATTTCTTTTCTTTACAGCATTGAGGAATCAAACTTGCTTGTTTATTTTAAAGAAGAATACATTTTTCCTCCTTTGATTTTCTTTAACAGTGTTCTCTCCAAGCGATAGCTTTGCTATACTGAACACCCACACTCTCATCAGGAGAGAAATACTACAAAACTATTGGTATTCTACCTTGACAATAAGAACTTTTTGAAAAAAGAATGTAACTAATGAAGCAGAGTGGAGAAGGAGAAATGTCAGGGCACATAGGTGAATCATATTCTGAAATTTTCAGATTGCTCTGTTGGAAACCCTTATGTTAGAACCAGAACACCAACAAAGTAAACTAGGTAAATACAAACTAGTCTGCTGCTTGTCATCTTGGTGAATCACCCATCAATTCATTCTCTCCTGTGCCTACTTAGATATAATACTGCTTCAGCTAATTTGACCTCATTTGGGCTTACAGAAATACTGTTTTGGCTTTGGCAGAAAAGTTATCACCGATTGATACCTTATTTGCATCTCCCACTTCAGTGTTGCAAGCACCTCTCTACTTAGCTTCTAATCATATAATCTGTATCTTGTCAGAACTATTTTGTCCATGATGCTTACTTTCTAACAAGTACCAATTAAGGAAGATTTGAATAGCTGGACTATATGAAAGTTTGAGAGACTTCTAAAAATACTTACATTCTGTTTTTCCTAGGGAAAACTACTACTTGCAAACTTCTGGCTCCCTTTTTGGTTCCAAAGATCGCTCCGATTTTGAAGCAGGGCTAGAAGTCTCCATAAGCTACAGGCTGGCGAAGCAGTGTGCATTAGGGGTGGAATTGTGAAAATTGCTCATTGTTAGCCTAGCTGAAAACTACCAAAATTAGCGGGAGCTTTTCCACTGGCATAATTGCAAGTAGACTTATGTTGGCAGTGAATACTTAGAGAAATCCCTTGTTTCAGATTTACAGCCCTAATTTCTAGCACATTGCATTTTTCTGTAGTGCTCTTTATTTTCAGTTACAGTTATCTCCTTTGCTTCATCAAATCTATGACTAGACTTCTGTTTTATACTCTGCATCCTAAAATTTGGAGGGATCTTACTATAGTTTCACTGATTGCAACTTTGACTTCGCAACCCCAGAAGAGGTACCTGGGTATTCGTTGTGTTGCTTATCAGCCCGCATTTCTTTCAAACAAGAGAAAGCTTTCTAAATAATCCTCCAAAAATAATTGCTTCTAGGCATGTTTAATATGCAAAAAATCACTGCAAATATATTTCTCTGTAGTGGCTAAGTATTTCATGTCTTGAAACCATAAATTTAAAACAATTAGATGAGGGGTGTTCATTGAAATTTGCTGGCATGTGCTTGAAAAAACATTTTTGATAGAGGAAAAGCATTGGATAACCAAAAGCAGCTGTTTAGGTCTACCCACAGAGGAGGTAGCTTAGGCGGTGAAATTTTACTCCCTGGCAGACCAGGAGCAAGCCCATTCTTGCAACTCTAGTAGAGCAGAAATTTCAGTGTACTGCAAAGCACTCCTCGTTTCTGCTAATATTGTGTGTCTGAACAAACAAGATAGTCCAGGGAAGGACCAGTCCTGTCAGCATAACCGCATGTCTTCCAAGGGTCTTTGCTGCCACGGTTCTGCGGCCAACCCCAAGGTGCAGGCAGGTGCTGCAGAGCAGACAAAGCTGCTTAGGGACTAACCTTCAGCTGCGCAATATAGTATTGGTCCTCCAGGCAAAGTAGTACTGTGGCTGGATACGTTTGTATTTGCCCACTTGTTTTGCTTAAGATGTTGACTTTGATCCGACTGTGTTAGAAACACACTTTCTGGATAAGATACCTACATCTAAATTCAGATCCCTGTAGCGCAGACATCCACAACAGAGATCACAGATGTGCACTTTTTTATTATTATTAATTTCAGTGCAGAGAAACAGGCATTTTCAGAGTTCTGTTCATTAGACCTATTGTACATGTCTACTTCAGAAGATGATGAGTTGTGTTTCACAGGTGCCTCTATCTCTGCAGTGACATTGTACGTTTTCACCTTCTACAAGTCCATATCTGAGCAGTTCCTACCAGCTTTGTGTGCATGCTTATACTGAACTAATGCATTTGGTTTAAAATTTGTGCCTCTTATTAGGACTGTCTTATCTTTTTCGGTGACTGCAGGCCATGACTGATGAGCCTGTCTGAAAAAGACTTTGAGAGCTGAAGAGTTTACTGTTCCCAGCTGTTAAGATATTAGTGCTGTGGTTTGCAGCATAGCACTGTAAGACAAATAAAACCCAGCGATGGTTTACTTTAAAATGCTGTACTGTAAACTGCAGTGGTTCAGGAGCTGATTAACAAGCAGCTCAGTAGTGCATGAACTGGAAGTTGGGCAGACAGGAGGTCTAACCTCATCAATCATTTCAAGCTAAGCATCCCTTCAACTCTGCTTAAAAGCATCCCTTCAACTCTGCTTAAAAAATAAAATCTGTTTAGGTGATGTTATGAGCGATACTTTAATTTCTGTCAGATTTTTGAGATCTCCAGAAAGAAATCTGCAGGGGCAGTGTATTTATTTTTTGTTTCAGTTTGTGTTCCCAAATTGTTAGGGGTTTGACTTGCCACCTAACAAACACATTTGGTAATGGTAAAATAAATGAAGACTCATTTAATTTTCAGGTACAATGTGTGTATCATGGCTTATGGGCAAACTGGAAGTGGGAAGACATACACAATGTTGGGACCACAGTTAGAGGAGAACTTTGCATTCTCCACAGAAGATGAATCAGAACTTGGAATTATTCCTCGAGCTACCCAAGAAGTGTTCAGGTAACAACTAAGTAAAGGCTTGTGTCAGTGTCAGTCTCCTTAAACTTTACAGAAAGGATGAAATTACATTTGTAATGTATTTATCATTACAGATTTCAGCTTCACAATGATTAATATTTATAGCTTCTCTGATTGCCATTCAATATTTGAATTTTGATACAGATTTCTAGTCTCTCCCCTGCTTAGTCTGATTTTCTAAGAAAATAAGATTATGCAATCTTGGCGTGTGTTGTCTGTTTGTCTTTCAGACTCCTAATTAACTTTTGAATGATTCAACCATAGTTGTGGGAGTCCAAAAGATAATTAAGTTCTTACAAGTTTTGTGAAAATTGACAATTGGGATAGATGAAGAGGATCCAGATTAGAACCGAGTCCCCTAGAAGCACGATAGTAGAATTCTCAACCACAATCTGTTCTTGCTTTGAGAATGCTTAGATTTTTTTAGTTGAACCTAATGCATGATTTGAACTGATATGCTGCTATGTTATAATAGAAGAGCCATTAGAGCTTTTTCCAGCTAAGCCTATTTCTTTTGGAGAAGGTTATAAGCTAAATCAAAGATCCATTTTTCTACCAGAATAACTGTGTTGAACTGTAAATATACTCCTGAATAGGCAAGCCCTTAATTTATGAATTTTCTGAGGCTGTGGACAGATAACCTCTTACAGATCTAGCTGGGCAGTTTACCCTCTCTGCCTGTTTGTTTCTTGCACTTTGACGGAGTTTATCATACCTTGAGCTCTGAATACAATAATGTCCAGCAGATAAATAGTAAAAGAAAGTCTTGAGGAGGGAGGGAAGCTAGCACAGAAAAACAATTTAAGCTTGCACAGCTGTTTGGAAAATGACGTTTTATTTACTGCTTCATGTATAATTTAACTGTATATTCTGATTCTTCAGCTTAACATTAGCATGTGGATGAGGCAAAGCCACAGCTGCGGGTATTTAATAAGCAGTTTTATCAGACTGTAATTAGATTTCAATTAAAGAATAGATTTTTATTTAGAGATTGTTCACTTGGGGTTTAACTTCAACATTTTTTGGCTTTTTTCTTGCTTTTTTTTTTTCTTTTTTCTATTTTTATTCTCCAGGCTTATTTCAGAAAAGCCACCAGGAAGTTACTGGGTTGAGGTTTCTGTTGTCGAAGTGTATAATAATGACATTTTTGATCTTCTGGCCAAAGACAGTTGTGGAAAAGTATTTGGCGTCAAACGTGACGTTGTCACAACCAGAGAAGGAAAGAGCGATGTTCCATTGCTTACGCATGAGTAAGTACACGATTTGATCCTTATCATCCAACCATGATCTGGTGTCAATGCAATGTATAGCTGTCACAAAATTCCATTATAGGCACCAGTTATCACTTCTAAACAATGAGTCCTTACCATATGCAAAAGAACTGTTCTCACTGTTTCCATTACCTCAGTCCATTAAACTGCAGTTGGCTGCAAGTGTCAAAATACTTTCAGAAATAAGAGCACAATTAGTTTGGGTTATAATCCTGTGTGAAGTGTCTTCCACTCAGAATGCCTGAAGATAGCTGTGTATTTTGTTGTTGCTGAAACTAGGGCATCTTGTCAGCTGTAGAAAAAGAAGAGGTAACCCAGTCACAAAGCCCTTTCCCTTCAGTCTTACCAAATTATAAAATTTACGGATTATACTAGAACTGTATGTACTTAGTGTAGATTTTTTTTAAGCAGCTGTAGAGTGTTAGCTTTCCC